ACACATACCAAATCATGGCATCACATCACCCCAGTCCTCAAAGACCTCCACTGGCTTCCTGTCTCCCATCGCATCAACTACAAAATTCTGGTCCTCACCTACACATTACTCCACCATCTGCCCCCACCTTATCTCACAAACCTTCTCACTCCTTATCAACCCCCCACGGTCCCTCAGATCCACCGCAGCCGGACTCCTATCCATTCCCACATCCACACCCTGCAGCTTTGGGGACAGAGCCTTCTCAGTGGCAGCTCCTAGGCTCTGGAATTCCCTCCCCCAAGATCTCCGTGACTCTGAGTCTCTCACAGTCTTTCAGTCCCGCCTCAAAACACATCTTTTCAACTCTGTCTACCCATAAGCCCCCCCCCCCCCCCCCTCTCAATCAACTTCCTCTTGACTGCCTTTTTATTTTTTACTTACTTGTTTACCTGTCCTTGTTTGTCTACCCTCCCTCATAATGTAAAGCGTCTTTGAGTTGTGAAAAGCGCTATATAAATCAAATGTATTATTATTATTATTATTATTATTATTATTATATGCCCTCCCTTTAGATTTGTTCTGGCGCTGGGTCTGGTCCCATTGCTCTTAAAACTCATTTCCCTGCTTCTCGTGGTTTCCTTGCGTCTCTCCATGCTTCCCTGGTGGGAGGGACTTAGTCGCAGGGAAACGACGCAAGTGAGGGACGCAAGGAATCCATTTAACCGAAGTGAAATGCAGCCTAAGAACTGGGTTGCGGTCGAATAGTCCGTTTTTAAATTAACACAAATACAAAATTAAAACCTATAATTGCACACTAAAACCATTATTTCAAAAAAAGAACTATTTCACATAAACCTCTGGTTTTTACTGGGGCAGTTCAACTTGATTTGGGGGGGGGGGGGGGCGCCATAGTTTATGGGTGCTGTACGCAATATAGGCGTAGTGCTTTTAGTATAAGATAATAAGACTTTGTTGATCCAAAATCGGGAAATTGTGTTGTTAGGACATTTCATTTATTTTTTTTTTTCTAACTTTTTTCGGTGCCCCCCATTGATTGATGCACCCTTAGCATTCGCCTATACTGCCTATGCCAAGGGCCGGCCCTGCTCACCACAGTACAGAAACTGCACTCGTCAAAGTCCTCAATGACCTCCTCACCTCTGCTGACACTGGTTCCCTCAATATTCTCATCCTCCTCGACCTGAGTGCAGCCTTCGATACCGTGAGCCACAACATCCTGCTCACCCGACTCAGGGACATTGGTATTGAAGGTATTGCACTCAGATGGCTCCAGTCCTACCTCACTGAATGATCCCACTTAATCTCCCTCCCCAACCACTCCTCTGCCACAGCTTCAGTCACCCAAGGCGTTCCTCAAGGATCAGTACTTGGCCCCCTCCTCTTCATCATTTACATCCTTCCCCTCGGTCAGATACTCCGCCACTTCAACCTCTGATGCTGATGACACTCAGATCTACCTCAGCACCAAATCCCTCCATAACCCACCCCTTACCACATTGATTCCTGTCTGACAGCTATTAAAACTTGGATGCAACATAACCTCCTCAAACTGAACAGCAACAAAACTCCTCCTAATCGGCTCCAAATCCACCCTCAGCAAGGTCACTAACATAACTCTCACCATCGATGGCACCATTGTTTCCCCCTCCAATCAGGCACGCAACCTTGGCGTAATCTTTGACCCCACCCTTTCCCTCAAACCTCACATCCGCCAAACAGTCAAAACCTCTTTTTTCCACCTCCGCAATATTGCAAAAATACTACCCTCTCTCACCCGCCCCGCAGCCGAACGACTAATCCATGCCTTCATTTCCTCCCGCCTTGACTACTGCAACTTACTTCTTTACGGCATCAGCACTATATCCCTCAACAGACTCCAACGGGTTCAAAATGCAGCTGCACGTCTCCTCACACATACCAAATCATGGCATCACATCACCCCAGTCCTCAAAGACCTCCACTGGCTTCCTGTCTCCCATCGCATCAACTACAAAGTTCTGGTCCTCACCTACAAAGCACTCCACCATCTGCCCCCCCCTTATCTCACAAACCTTCTCACTCCTTATCAACCCCCACGGTCCCTCAGATCCACCGCAGCCGGACTCCTATCCATTCCCACATCCACACCCTGCAGCTTTGGGGACAGAGCCTTCTCAGTGGCAGCTCCTAGGCTCTGGAATTCCCTCCCCCAAGATCTCCGTGACTCTGAGTCTCTCACAGTCTTTCAGTCCCGCCTCAAAACACATCTTTTCAACTCTGTCTACCCATAAGCCCCCCCCCCCTCTCAATCAACTTCCTCTTGACTGCCTTTTTATTTTTTACTTACTTGTTTACCTGTCCTTGTTTGTCTACCCTCCCTCATAATGTAAAGCGTCTTTGAGTTGTGAAAAGCGCTATATAAATCAAATGCATTATTATTATTATTATTATATGCCCTCCCTTTAGATTTGTTCTGGCGCTGGGTCTGGTCCCATTGCTCTTAAAACTCATTTCCCTGCTTCTCGTGGTTTCCTTGCGTCTCTCCATGCTTCCCTGGTGGGAGGGACTTAGTCGCAGGGAAACGACGCAAGTGAGGGACGCAAGGAATCCATTTAACCGAAGTGAAATGCAGCCTAAGAACTGGGTTGCGGTCAAATAGTCCGTTTTTAAATTAACACAAATACAAAATTAAAACCTATAATTGCACACTAAAACCATTATTTCAAAAAAAAGAAACCTCTGGTTTTTACTGGGGCAGTTCAACTTGATTTGGGGGGGGGGGGGATTCTAGTACTTCCTCTATGTAACCCTTGTGTGGTGTTCATATTTGTGTTATTCAGCCAGTCTTGCAGCGCCCCTGCTTCTAGTCTAAAGAATGTGTTAACTGGACGGAAACTTCAACATCATTTTGTTCAGTGCAAACTGTTTCAGCTGAATAAACTGTCTGTGTCCAAGGAGTTAACGTCTCATTTGTAGAAGCAATTGAAAGCAGAGGAGGAAGAAGTACTTATAATCTACTAAAAGAAGTACAAAATATGAACTACTATCTTGTACTTCAGTAAAAGTAGAAGTACCAAAAGTAAAAAGTAGTGCAGATTGGTCCATTTCAGAATAATATATATGAAGACTTGATTATATTTCACATCAATAATCCAAATCTGTAAAGTAACTAAAGTTATTAAATACATTTAGTGGAGTAAAAGTAGGCTACACCATTTACCTCTGAATTGTAGTGGGGTAGAAGTACAAAGTAGCAACAAATGTAAATACTCAAGTAAAGTACAAGTACAGTACCTCAAAATTGTACTTAAGGGTACTCGAGTAAAGCTGCTTAGTTACTTTACACCACTGTTAGTAAATGCTGTGTAAATTATTCAGTTTTCTAAAATACTTGGATTAGGTAGGTGTAAAAAAGTCAGTTACTGTACAGTCGTCAAGAAAAGAGTAGTTGCACTTTGAATTGCCTTGTGTTGAAAGGTGCTCTATAAATACACTTGCCTTGCTGATTTTAAACTAACTATACTCCCTTTTTTAGGATTTTTATTTTGAATTGAAATTCATGCAGAGGACACATTTTTGGTTGGTTTCTTCTTTTCTAAGGTCACATTATTTCTGTCGTCTGACATTATACACTACATTAAAAACGTATTAATATTTATTTTCTCGTTTTTATTTGCGTTGCATTTAATATTGAGGTAATCCAACCGAAACAGAAGGTCATCAGGTTACATCACTTATATTTTTGATACTCAGATTAGGTTACTGATAATAATTTTTAAAGGTATAATCTGTAATTATAAAGGAATACATTTTTAAGTAACACTAGCCATAGATCTATGTTTTTAATGTAACCTTGTTTTAATTTGAAACATTTGAGAATGTTTTACTACATGATCAAATGTTATCTGAATATTTATCACATTAAATTTGTTTTGAAGAAACACACTGTTGGAATTATTTTTACTGAAGCTTTTGATTAAAATGTCTCCTGTAGAACATCTTACCCTGCTGGCTCTCCCTCTGGCAGACATGGTGGATGAACATATCCAAAAAGATGCTGAAATGAATGAAGACAGATACTGTAACGAGTATCAACCAGTGAGTGAGTGAGGCTCTGTGTGAACACTCATCATTCTAGAACAGATTCTGTCTAGTGACATAATGCTTTTCTAAGAAAATATCAATGCAAACATCTGAATATCTGGCTCTTCAGTTTAATTTCTCCTGTCGAGCATTGTTCCTATCTACAGACCACCAAAATATTCAGCAAACTTTCTTGATGATTAATGTGAATTATTGTTGATTATCTGGAATGATTCCGAGTCCATACTTATAGCTATTGCCTTCAACATACTGACAACCCCCAAGGACAGTAGTGCTATCAAATGATCAAATATCCTGGAAAGCTATGGACTAACCCAGCATGCCCCACTCTGAAATTGGGTCACACTCTTGATCAGGTTATCATCAAAGGTCTCAATATTTCAAACCATTCATAGATGTTGGTGACTCAGATTACCCCTGTATCTTCTTCAAATCAATATCAGTGTTTGCACGAAGAGGCAAGCAGAGATAATCACAAAACAAGACTGAGGAAACAATCTAGTTTAGGCATTTTCCTCCACGATTGGACTTCAGTCAAACTCTGCTAATATGGTTGATAAATTGATGAACTACAAACCTCAATGATGCTCTCGCCCCTGCTACAGTCAAAGCTCTCTTTGGTAAAAAAGCACCATGGAGTATATCAATCAAATATCAATGTTCTTTTTGAGAGTTTTAAGGACTGTCTCTGTAACTTTAAATTACAAAATGCTCTTTTTTTCTTTATTTTCAAATAGTGTCAGGCTGACAACCACTACATTTCAAAACCCACATCAAAGGAAGTACAATATCAGCACATTACCTCTTGTCGTACATGTTTGGCTGTAACAACGTACATTTCCCCTCTGTGGGACTAATAAAGGTATTCTGATTACCACCTTAGCTAAACTGAAAACACTCGTGTCTCAACAGGATCTGGAGAAACTAGTCCATGCCTTTATTTCAGACCAAAACAATTGAGCACATCACCCCAGCTCTCAGAGCTCTGCATATGCTATAAAACAAATACACTTCATAATCTTCCTTTTGACTTCAGTATAAACTTTAAGATCTAAATGGATTGGCACCACAATACAATTGGGAAATGCTGCTGTGTCCACTCAGTTTGCTGTGTGCCCCGCACATTTGGCTCAGAACCAAATTTGCAGGGCAGCTTTAATTTGTTAAGCTCCACAGACCTGGATCAAACTTCCTGAACCCGAGTTATTTTTGTATCATCTCCATCTAGATTTTGAAGAATGGCAGCACTCCGCCACACCATGGTCTGATGTTCCCCTGCTCAGTTGCAGTTCAAAGGAAACCGTACCCGCTGGATGAAGCAACATGAAATCAATTACATTTGATGTCACATGGGCCTTTTATACATCTGTCTCAGGGGGCATTACAATCGGTAAAAAGAAGAAACCCAACAATTAACGTGAACAAATGTTAGAAATTATATATGACAAAATATGGAAACTCACAAAGCTTCCAGGAGTTGCAAACAATAAAAACATGGACATCCACCAGGAACACAGCAACAGGATGCTGATGCCGGCTTTAAACGGGCAGCCTGCCAGGTGATGCAAGGAGTAGCTCTCAGAGGAAGTCTCTCAGCTGTTGGCTGAACTCAGTGAAACCTTCAAAGATAATACCATTTTTGTTTACCTTTCATTTACTAGTTTTTGCTCTTTCATATTCTGCTGCAGGTTTATGTGCAGTTAACTTGGTCTCTAGTCTTGATTAACACAGTTATATGTAGAATCTATGTTATCAATATTCTGTATTGAGGAGGGTTTAAAAATGACTCTTTTTCCCTGGGACATTTGTAACCGTGTCCCTGGGTCTACCAGCTGCAGCATCATGTTTGGTCCCCATAGGGTTCAGTTAACAGTTTTCACATCAGTCAGTTTGAGCTGAACCAAACAGGTGAGGTGAGAAAGACTCAAACAATATATAAATATCTGTGGGATTGGTAGCTGCTTTTAACATACACAAAGTTACAAAGGCTTGCTTTGAGAAGGCTTCACACTTTTTTTCATTAATAACAGCAATTTAAAAATACCAATTCACAATGATTAATTCAAGTGCATGCATACACTGAACCCTGGAATCAGAAACATGATAAGACAAAATCATGAAGCTCTAATAGTAAACACTTCCCACAGATAACAAGCTCTCTAGAGGGAACACCTACAGCATGGTGATATCTCATGGAGGATTTGATGTTCAAAAGCCATTTATTCCTTCAAGTAGAGGAATCACACAACATGGCTGATTAATAAGGAAGTACAGTACCTGAGCATCACAGCTGACACACCATTTCTAAAGAAATACTGTGTTGTATAAATGAGGCTTATGAAAATTGCACTAAAATCCAACCATGTCTCTAACAGTTCATTTGGTATTCAAGCAGACTCCGACGTATTGTCTGAAACCTTGAGAACAAAAACGGCATCATCGAGAATGTAGTAATCATTGTACATGTCTCCTTCACAAAGGTATGGCAGCCGGGTCACAGCCTCCACCTCAAACCCCGCCTTTCGGAACACCTCACTGGACAGATTAGTTACTTGCTCCTCCCAGGTTTTTCCTTGTACTTTTATATGTTCTTTGGGACGCTGCCATTTTCCTCCTAAGAACAAATATAGAATGTTTTAATTTGGGTCGGAGTGGAAATCTATGAAGCCATATACATATGAGGAAAGATTCCCAACTGACCGACTTCCACATAAGGCTGGAAGGGAAGCACTGCAGCCAGGATGAGCCTCCCAGTGCTGGGAACCAGCGACAGCCGGATCTCCTGCAGCAGATGGAGGGGGTGCTCACAGCGGTCCAGCAGGTTCAGACAGCTGATCACATCGTACTGGAAACCAGTGTGCTGCCACTCATCGATCCCCAGCAGCCTAAGCACCACGGAAGAACAGAATTTTTCGATGACAATTCGTTATTTTTAGGGGTACAAGAAGTTATAGTTATAGCAGTCGAAGTGGGAACGTGACGCCCCATCTCTGGCACTGTGGCTGCCAACATTAATAGCACAGCTGCTAACACAGACAACAGAGTGATGCAGGGACGACTCATTTTCGTAGGCTGAGACATAAACCAATAGGTGCTTTCACACCGAAATACTTTTCCCTTTTAGTTCCGATAGTTCCTGGGATTTTGTGTTCACACCAAAAAGAGAACTTAGTTCATGAGAACTTTTCCCCCTTTTCAGTCCCTGCTAGAGAGGTGGTACTTTCCTGGGGAGAATAAAGTTCCAATTTCTGATTGGCTGGGCGAATTGCAAACCACGCCCCGTAAAACTCAGAAAGGTTTTGTGAAGCCGCCATTGTATTTGCTAGCATTAGCCCAGCGCACCAACAGAGACAGACTAGCTTATGGCAACATAAAATAAAACATGGGAGCGGTGGAGATGAGGAGGTGTCGGCGTTCTGGCGATTTACTCGGAAGCCAGTCCCCAACTCCGGGGACCTCCGGCCGGGGACTTCGGGTGGCAGTATACGGCGTGAAGTTGTTTGCGGCCTGCCAGTAAACCCAAAGCAGAAGAAGAAGTGACGTCAGCGGCTTCATTTGCGTAATCTCCCCCCTAGGGACTTATTCCGGTGTGAACGTGATCTGCTCTTTAGTTCCATGGGGGAACTAAGTGCTGGGAACTAAGTACGACAAAGTACTTGGTGTGAAAGCGGCTAATGGGATTTTCCCGTTGGATTATTACAGAAAATAATCTCTGTGGAAAACACATATTTCTAATACTAAACACTTTTTGTTTCGCAGAATAACCTCCAAAAGAAATCACTCAAAACCCACCTGTTCAACACTGCATTCAACCACTGACCACCACCCCCCCCCCCTTATCTGTTTTGTTTGTCCCTTTATATATTTTCTTCGTTTTTGTGTTACTCTGTCAAAGCGTCTTAGAGTTTTTAGAAAAGCGCTATATAAGTGTCATGTATTACATTGGAAGCTTGGAAATAACAGATACTCTGGACACATGTCACATGTGCACTGGTTGCCTGGCTGTACATGAAAGCTTTGCCAGTAAAAAAACATGTGACAGCTGCCGTAAAACAAAGGATCGCTCTTAGGGTGACCAGTTGTCTGGCTTTGTGCACAGCATTTTTATCATTTGTCCCACACATTTAGCCGATAGACAGTCGCCCGTCTTAAACAAGGCTTTCATACAAAGGTGTGTAGAAAACGAGAGGACAATCATCACCATTAGCTGTGTCAGATGCCAATCAAGCAACAGAGAAATGTATTAACTTATGGGTGTAGCTGGTGGAGGACGATTCCCAGAGAGTTATTGTCAGATTTGCGCAGAGGTGAATATGTTTTGAAGCGACGCTTCCCCGAAACTCTCAAGAAACGCCTGGCTAATGAAGAAAATATCAATCTATGGATATATTCCTCCTGAAACCAAAAGAGATGAGGTAACAGCAGCTGATTTAATTAACGTTTAGCACACAGGTCAGCAGACTGTGGCAGTAAACTAGATCCGGCCATTTTTTTCGGGTCATAATAATTTGTTATGTTAATTCCATTCAAAACAAATACATATAATACCTTCACTTGCATAGTTTGTGCAAACATTAAACGATAGTAAAGCGTTGTTATTAATATTTATAAGCTAATTTATTAGTTTAATAAAAATGTTTATTTTTAAAGGTTAGATGGACGTTATATACATCTAATCTAGCTCTTAGCAATGCAGTAACATGTCCCGCATTGTCCCGCAAAAACGTCCCATTTGTCCCACATGTTGCTTGTTGGCAGCTGATCACCCTAATCGCTCTTGATCAATATAGCCGATACCAGGGGTCGCAACAGGCCGACTGCGGTCCGGACCCCGACCTATACGGACCCGGACCTATAATCAATACATTAATAGGGGATTTCAATGTTGACGGGACGATTCTATTTTAAACGCCGCCGACAGGGGGCGAAAGAGAGGAGTGAGTGAGACAGGGAGAGAAACACAGAAGAAGAGACGAGAGCGCGGTAGAGAGAAGCGGAGAGGAAAGTGAGTGAAGAGAATAATTAGCGATACAGGGAGAGAAGCGGAGAGGAGTGTGAGTGAAGAGAATAATTAGCGATACAGGGAGAGAAGCGGAGAGGAGAAGATAGAAACGGTTAACAAAGAAAAAGAGAAACTCAAGCTGCTGCTACACTTTATTTTATTTATCTAAAATTAAGCACTTTTAAGATGCACATATTTTCAAAAGCTATTTTATTTATTTTCTCTATTTTATTTTTAAATACAGACCGAGAGGAACATTACACATATCCACAGTATTTACTGTATATCTGTATAGTTCAATGTTAAATTGACAATAAATATTGTTGTTTATGAATTGTACTTTCTTTATTTGATTGGATTACATGCAGACGTTGATAAAGCTGCAGCTACTTCAATATATATTACACTAATTCATGAAGCAAGTTAGACATTTTGATGTTCCGGACCTTTGCATGGGGACATTTTCTCTAACTGGACCTCGTTGAATTGTAGTTGAATACCCCTGGCCTATACTTATCAGTTTAAAATGCCCTGATATTGATCTTTGAGATTTAATGGCAAGTAGGGCTGAACGATATACCGTGTCATGGCGATAACCGCGGTATGCGCATGCGCGGTATTCACACCGCAGGGACGTGTGGTTTTATTCATTTAAAAAAAAAAAATGCTAACGCACTTTAGCACAGAATTCAAAATAAAGATACCCTTATTACTTATCGAAACTGCACATACAATATATCCGATTAAAGCCGAGACTCCACAGATTATTTAAGTATAGTATCTAAGCGATCCGATCTCGCAAAAGGGGAAGCAAACACAGACATCACAACACGTACCTTTTACGGAGCTTTTACGGGAGATCGTCTCACCGTAGCTGTCAATCTGATCAAAAGACGTGTTCAATGGCATTAAAACGAGAAAGAAAAAACGCGGCTGAATCGGTTGATCCATAGGTTGATAATGTATCTGTGGCTTTGAAGCAATTGTTTATAATCCATAATTACATTTTTATGTAAAAATCGGAGCACAAATGTTAGCTGCTAATGTTAGCCACCACCAGAGTGTATGCAGCTTCCGGTTTTGGCTACACATCACTCACTCATTATTTGTTCATGTGCTGGTGTGTGTAGAACTTCCCCTGCATGCACAGCAAACCACCAATCACAATCATTGTGATCAGATCACAGCAGGCCCCGCCCCGCTAGTTTGCAGACCATCAAAAAACACTGGTAAAAAATGAGCGAGGCACAGGAGGACAATACCGGAGAGAATGAAGATTTACTTCCAAGAAGAAAAGCAACATCTGCCATCTGGAACTATTTTGGCCTATGGAAAAAACCTATGGATTAACCGATTCAGCCGCGTTTTTTCTTTCTCGTTTTAATGCCATTGAACACGTCTTTTGATCAGATTGACGGTGAGACATCTCCCCTAGAAGCTACGTAAAGGTACGTGTTGTGATGTCTGTGTTTGCTTCCCCTGTCCGAGTTCAGATCACTCAGTGATGATACTATATACCTAAATAATCTGTGGAACCTCAGCTTTAATCGGATATCTTGTATGTGCAGCTACGATAAGTAATAAGGGTACTTTTATCTTGAGTTCTGTGCCAAAGTGCGTTAGCATTTTTCGCTCAGGGGTCATTTAGATGCTTCTTATGAGACTTGTGTTTTGTTTTGGTATAAAATGGTTTGTATCGTCAGTTAGCTGAGATTATTTCTGTTAATCTGGTATAACACATTAATAGGTTCTTAAATATTACGATCCCCTGAGACACTGTCGTGAAAAAAAAAGTAAAGTACCCGCCGGGACTTTGGGGTTTAACAAGTTAAAAAACCCGCAATATATACCGCAGGGGGGGAAAAAAAAATCGCGGTGTCAGTTTTTTTCAATACCGTGCAGCCCTAATGGCAAGTATACAGATGGATCAAAACAACTATTATTACTGTGGGTTATATAGCACGCTGAATGAATATCACAGTAGTCATTTGGTTTATTACTCACTTGTAATTCCTCCTCTGAAGATGCCATTTCATGGGTGGAGAGACCTCAGTTGCATAAACCTCTCTAAAATGTGCTCCCATCACCCCAGTGACAGCTCCATCCCCGGCCCCCAGGTCCAGAAGTCTGTCAGACCTCCATTCCGGGCCGACCCGGAGCAGCTGCTGGAACTGCTCCGGGGAGAAGACAAACATAGAGCCGCGACCCAGAAACCTGAGACAGAGAGCTGGTCAGAGGAGGAGACTCAGCTGGATGCAGCGGGACATGTCTGTGATACTCACCCATTGATGGAGGTGCGGGACACCAGCGGGCTGAGGAAGGTGGACACAAAGGAGTGGTAGAGCTGGGTGAACAGCCAGCCAGATTTATCTACGCTCCGCTTCAGGAAAGCCTTGGTGTCCGAGTCCAGGTGGCTCTGCACAAACAGGGGCCGCACAGACTCTCCCAGCAGGTCCGGACCGCACCTGTACCACTGCAGCCCCGGGACAAGGAGAGGGAAGTATTCACATTTAAACCAGAGAGAGGTGGAGCAGCATTGGATCTACTTCATTATCACTTGTACACTTGTTCCTGCATGGCTTAAAGAATAAAGATAAGACATAAAACAAACAGCGGGCTATATGTACAGGTACATCTCAATACATTAGAATATTGTGGAAAAGTTGATTAATTTCAGTAATTCTATTTTAGTAGTAGTAGTAGGAGTAGTTTAGTGTTGAGTGACACACCTTTGTAGCTTGCCGCACAGTCAAATACCACTCAGGGTTTTCTTTTTAGGATGGTACACCCCATGATGCGGGATGTACCACACCTTTCCTTCTTTTCCTTTCACCTGATGCTCTGGCACACTCTCTGCATAGCCGTTGTTTATGACATCACAAAGAAAGTTGGTGTATTCCTCTTTGAATGTTGGATTTCTCTCCAATTTCCTTTTTAGGCAGAGGACCCTTTGCTCAGCAAGATGGCGGTTGTTGGGCATGACAACATTATCCTCTTCTCTAAAAGGCAACTTCAAGCAGTAATGTCCATTGTTGAGTTCAGCTGAAGTGTTGGCAATTTGCATGAACTTAAGATCTTCTATGGACATTTCTGGCTTGTCTTCTGCTGATTTCTCATTGAAGTCATGGTTGTACTGCTTCATCAGCAGTTCGTCTATGTGAGCAATGGATATGCGGTTGGCTGTGACTGTGGGGCAGCTACTCCCACTCTCATTGCCTCCTCTCAATGGTCCGTTGGCAACCCATCCCAATAGGGTTCAAACAGCATAAGGTCCTTTACCCCTGCTGTTTATCACTTCCCATGGCTCCATTACTTCTGGAGAGTTAGTTCTAATTAACAGCTCCACATCAGCATCGATAGCAGGAATTTCCACAGAGTCCAAGTATGGCCAAGCATACAAGTCTTCCTGTTGTGGGATGTTATTACGAGTCACAGGCATCTTGCGTTGGGTGTAAACATCAGGCAACTCAATATAGATGTTACCATTGAGTGCAGCTACCTCTAGTCCTGAGATGACGTGACTGTTGACAAAGCTTTCTTTATTCATTGTTTTCATCAGGAATTTAGTGTTCCTTCCTCTCACCTTTAGCTTCCTCATCAGTTGCTCAGAGCAGAAAGTAGATGAGCTGCCGGGATCTAGAAATGCATAGGTCTTTAGAATTGTGCTGCCTTTCTTTGCCTTGATCTTTACAGGAACAATTGACAAGACGCAATCCTGTGCTCCGGCTCCTATATGGCCACATGTCTTGGGAGTAGTGGCTTGACTCATCCATGTTGTTTCTTGCTGTGTGTCCTTTGATTTATTTCCATTCCTTTGCATGGATATGGAGAATGCTAGGATGTTTCAGGTTACACAACTTACAAGACAGCCGACTGTGACAATCTTTACTCATGTGTCCAACTGATAGACATCCAAAACAAGCACCTTTCTTTTTTAGGAAATCAATTTTATCCCGATGCTGCTTATTTTCCATCTTGGGGCACACTTCCAATCTGTGGCCCTCTTCACACAGCAGACAAGGTCCCTTTGTTGACTTATCAGGTAAGTATTTCTCCTTTTGAGTTTCAGAGATAACAGCTGCCACAGATGTAGCGAAACTGCTTCCTTTCTCCTTTATGACATGTAGCTTATGTCCTCCATAGCGTTACAGCAGACGCGTAGGAATAGTGAAAATGCTTGTAAGGCTTTGATGTCCTCTGACTTCAGTGGTGCCCATCCAAGTGCTTTTTCCATATATGCAGTGGCTATTTTTTGCTCATTTCCAAAGCATTCTTCTAAAAGCATTCCTGCTCTTTGATACCCCCTGTCAGATGGCATGTGTTGACAGCTCTTGACCAGCTCTCTAGGTTGCCCTCGAGTGTACTGCTCCAGGTAGTATAAGCAGTCTACACTGCTAGCAGCTTTTCCTTCCACTCCATTTTCAAAAGCTCTGACAAATAAGTTGTACTCAAGAGGGTTTCCATCAAACACTGGTATGTCCCTTGGGGGTAATGATAATGAAGACTGCTGTTGCACTAGTAATGCTGTGATGTCGTTTTGCTTTTGCATGATGGTGAAAATATTGCCTTGGTCCGGTTCCTCACTGTTTTGGTTTGATTGCTGTGATGGCTGTGCAGTTGGATATGACTGACGAGATCTTTGAGGCATTCTGCCTTGGTCCTCATCGACTTGGATACATTGCTGTTGTGTATATGCACTGGGATATGACTGCAAAGACCTTTGAGGCATGCTTGGGATGTGATTTGAAGCATACGTTTTTGATCTGGTTCCTTGTGAAATGGTTTCTTTGCGCCGTGCCCCTGTTCCACTTGGCATTGTAGCTGCAGTATTGAACTGGTTGTATGGATTTTGATGTGATTGAGTGGGTTTTGTAGATTTACTGCCTCATGTTGGTGGATGATTGTATTGACAGCTTGGCTCCAATAATTGTGCTTTCATTGACATAGCAGTTTTACTGCCTCCTGTTGGTGGATGATTGTATTGACAACTTGAAGTTTGTGGAACAAATGGCACAGCAGCAGAGGGTTTGAGAGCAGACTTGTGTTTTGACACATATGAATTTGTTCCATTTGTGACTCCTATGTCAGACCCTCTGTTTCTGAGTACTGTGACTTTTGCTGTCTGCGCAGCAATCTGACTTTGCACTTCAAGCAATTCCCTTTTCTTCCTAATTTGAGCCTCTTGAGCTTCCAGCTCATGCTTTTCCTTGAGAGCAGCCTCCAAAGCCAGGAGCGCAGCCCTTTCAGCCTCTGCCTTGATACGTGCAGAGCACGTTGTTGACCTTGAGGACCTAGAATGGCCAGAGCTTCCACCTGACACATTTGTTATGTCACCAATGTTAGAAATACTGTCATTTGGCCCAATATTATCCAGCTCCTCATTTGCATGTAACACATCATCGATTTCATCATCCACAACCTGTATGCATTTCTCCCTGTTTGCATGGACCCATTTTTCCATTTTGTGTATTACTCCTTTAACATTGTGCATTTGATTTTGAAACCATTCCGTTTGTTTAACCATTTCATCCTCAGGCAACAAAGGTTTTAATGACTCATGCAACCTTGTAGTTTCCCCAGACAGTTTCCACCAGAGATGTTCACAAGTCTTTGGTCACGAGTCCAAGTCAAGTCTCAAGTCTTTGTGGGGTGAGACTTGATCAAGTCTTTGGTCACGAGTCCAAGTCAAGTCTCAAGTCTCTAAAAAATAAAAGTCTCATGTCTCTTCTGGTTGTAATAAGCCTTCTATTGTCTGCTGCTATCCAGTCTGTTAAGAATACTGCACAGCTATATCTAAGACATTCAAAGCATTTACTGTATTAGTATCACTCCTATATCTATTAGCATACAGTATCAGTACTGATTAGTTGTTTGTTATATGATCACTTTAAACAGGCTATTGCAATGCAATATGAGGACAAACATCACACTTTAGCTAAATGCAAACAACGGCAACAAGTAACTGAAATATACTGAACTGGTGATATTAAAACATGACCTGTTCCAAAAGAGATATCTACCATTAACACCATTTACCAGCCAAATGCTGGTAAATCATGCAAGTGGCTGGTACTGTATGTTGCACGCACCAGCCAAAAATAACAATGGCAATCTATTGAGTGGCTGGTAACATTTCAACATTCACTAGGCTAGCCATTTGGCCAGTGGACAAAAATGTTAAAATTTGACCTCTGCAACCGTATTGTGTAATTACACTGGGTCTCTAATGACATCTTTTAAGTCTACTATAAATAAACATATTCCTATATCCTCTCACTCAAACCCAGTGTAATGGTAACCTGATAAACCTGTAACATTAACGTTACGTGGTCAACAATAAACCTGTAACCTGCCTATAAACCGACAGATGTATTTATGTATGTAACTATGTATTTTTCTACGTTTAACGTTAGCCAGTAGATGGTGGCAGCGGAACGTAATGATTAACGTTACCGACCTTTTTTATGTCATGTCAAGAGTTGGATGTCAACGCCACTCAACGCAAACAAGTGTGACAAGGAAACATTCACTCATCTTTTCAAATATTCAGTTACAAAGCTAGTAGCAAGCTAAGTTAACATTACATAGCTGATGCTGAGCTAAACATGTTTGCTAACCGTCCATATGCGTTAATGTGACTGACCTCTCCGGGTGAGTTTTCAAGTGCCTGATGAAATTTGACGTTGTTGCACCAGCATCCTTGATTTTAATATTGCAGACTTTGCAGTGTGCGCTCCTTTTGTTGGTGCCGCCGGCGTTTTGTTCGAAGTTTTTATAGTTGAACCTAATTACAAGCGGTACAGCTGCAGGTGTGCCGCCGGTCGCCATGGTGTTACCATGATGTTAATGTTAAAGGTGGGGTAGGTAAGTTTGAGAAACCGGCTCAAGATACACTTTTTGTTATATTCCATGGAATGCTCTTAACATCCCGATAGCCGGCCCGGCTAAAGTAACTGGATGGCCTACCTGCCTGTCTGCCTCCCATCGGGGCACAAACTTATCTCGTGCCCTCATTGGTCATGTGCGCGTTCGTGTGTGTTGGAGGAGGCGCTCTGTGAGGAAGTGGCAGATTTTCTCCGGTTGTGTATTTTCAAATTCTAGCGATCTCGAGCCGGTTTCTCAAACTTACCTACCCCACCTTTAATACGCCAAAAATAGAAAACACAATGATTGTTCACGAGTCCCAAAACACGAGTCCAAGTCGAGTCCGAAGTCTTTTGAGCAGGAGTCCAAGTCAAGTCTGAAGTCTCTGTGTGTGCGACTTAAGTGCGACTCGAGTCCGAGTCACAGACTCGAGTCCCCATCTCTGGTTTCCACAACATTTCATGTTTGATTTGCATGTCAGAAACATTTCCATCTGAAATCATCATTTGTTCCAATTCCTTTGCCATTTTACACAATTGCTTTATCCCAGAATTCCTGTCCTTTTGCATAGATAATATATTTGCTTCCGCTGCTTTATATGTGAGTTTAGCTGTCCATTTACCAAGCCCATCCTCCTTTTCAGTTTGATTGACAGCAGCGTTCGCTTTGTTTAGAATTACTTTATGGGATTTGCCTGTATCCCGTTGCGTGAAGGCCACTCTCCTCCGCAACCTTTTATTCATTCATAAATACTCCTACCGTGACTTTGATGTTTGGTCCGTCCCCGTTCCTCTTGCGAGTGCGTAACGTGGATTTAAGTCGGGAAAAGTCAATGAATACAGCGCTGTCCTCCTGTGTCCATCCGTCTTTGGAAGCAAGTTTTCAACAAATGTAAAGGCAACCGAACAACAAATATTTGCCAGTGAGGGATATGGTGTGAAGCTTTTCCAGACGCGTGGTGTTGACAGCAAATCAGGTCTTCTCTTTGAGTTCATTTAAGATGTTTATTTGGATTGCAGGATGATGACAGCGAAACAAGAGCCGGGTGTTTAACTGATAACTAAACAACTAACTGTGATAAAGAAATAAACAGAAATTAACTCAAAACAAACAGAAAATAAGCGAAAACACGCACGGTTGAAAAACTGTGTGGCTTCCCTCTGGTGATTCCCAATCCCTAATGCTGTGCACCTGTGTCCTCCCCAAATAGTAGGCTATAAAAATTGGAAATTGAAATTGGCTGAGTCCCCGCCTATGCCCAGGTCAATTCAGTCGTATCACAGCACCTTCATATACAAATATTAAAATACATCAAATTGGCTGCAACATTCATGTTCCTGCTCTCACTACTTGGTTGGGCCTCCTTTGGCACAAATGACTGCGTCCATGTGGCATGGCATGGAGGCAATCAGCCTGTGGCTCTGCTGAGGTGTGATGGAGGCCCAGGCTGCTTCCATAGCGGCCTTCAGCCCGTCTGATTTGTTGGGTCTGGTGTCTCTTCTCTTGACAATACCCCATAGATTCTCTATAGAGTTCAGGTCAGGGGAGTTTTCTGGCAAATGAAGCACAGGCAGTAATTCCATGGTCCTTAAACCAGGTTTCGGTACTTTTGGCAGTTTGGGCAGGTGCCAAGTATTACTGGAAAATGAAATCAGCATCTCCATAAAGCTTGTCAGAAGAAGGAAGCATGAAGTGCTCTAAAATGTCCTGGTGGACGGCTGCGTTGACTTAGGACTTAATAAATGAATGGCTTTTGCTTGAAAATCCTCTCAAGTCTGGGGTTTTTCATTAGCTATAAGCCGTCATCATCAAGATTAAAACAAATAAACACTTGAAATAATTCACTTTGTGTGAAATGAATCCATATAACATATGAGTTTCACTTTTTAAATAGAATTACTGAAATGAATCAACTTTTTGATGTACCATAAATGAGCTGAGAATACTCTTTACAGAAAGTGGTTAGTGTTAGTGTTTAGTGGGCAGTGTGTGTTAAAGGGTGTGTGTGTGTGTGTGTGTTTGGATAGGGTGGGGACAGGTGCAGGTGCAATAGATTAGATTTATACATTAATACAACAAAGTCATTTCATTTTATACTTCTTCATACTTAATAAGTACTTTTACTCCTAATACTTTCAAGTATATTTTCCTAATCGTACTTAAAAACTTACATTTTGTATCTTTCTCGATGCAGTACTTTTACTTCAAATTGAGTATTTGTATAGTGCGGTGATAGTACTTTTACTACCCACCAGTGGAAGAGGCCTTAAAATAAAACAAGCACCGTCATGTATTTTATATCTGCATTATTCCTCTGCACTATTTCTTAGAATTGCCTTGTGTTTAAGGTGCTATTTTAGGAGTGTGAGCTGGTAGCTGGAGAGGTACCAGTTCAACTCCTGGGCCACTGCCGAGGTGCCCTTGAGTAATGCACCGAACCCCGAAACAGCTCAGTGGCGCCGGCTAACTGGCAGCCTCTCTGCTCTGCACCTCTCCTATCGGCATGTGGTTGTGTGTGTGCATGTGTATCCTCTGTGTGTGTGTGTGTGTGTGTGTGTGCATGTGTATCCTCTGTGTGTGTGTGTGCATGTATATCCTCTGTGTGTGTGTGTGTGTGTGTGTGTGTGTGTGTGTGCATGTATATCCTCTGTGTGTGTGCAAGTGTATCCTCTGTGTGTGTGCATGAGTATCCTCTGTGTGTGTGTGCATGTATATCATCCCTGTGTGTGTTATGTGTGTAAACAGAGTCGAGAAAGTAACTTCCCTGTGAGGGATTAATAAAGTATGTCTTCTTCTTATAAATACATTGACTTGGCTTGCCTTTGAGTAAGCAAAAAAAAGGGTAGAATGATCTGATATCTGCCCTCTGATCAGTGTAACATAACACGCTGTATGGTGTCACGTGAGTCTAGTATCTAGTCAGTCTGTCCATGATTGTTGATAAGGCGGAATATTACTAACAGTTAATATTACTAACAGTTAATATTACTAACAGTCATTATTAACAGTTAACATTACTAACAGTTCATACCTCTTGAGTCTCGGTCGCGGCAGCCTCGTCCTCGCTCACCATGTTCAGGAAGAGGGACCGGGCCAGCGGGCTGCGGACGTACTTCCCGGTCCACATCCTCCTGATGGAGAGCAGGAAGAAGACGTATCCGAGCAGCCAGGCTCCGAAGAGCAGCGTCTTCAGCTGCAGAGGACACATGAGGACACAGGGTGAGAGCTGGAGCAGCGGAGGGCTAATGTTAGTGTGAGAGGATAAAGAAGGCCATGGCAGCCAATGGAGAAGCAACACGCCGGGAGAGCTTTCCTATTCAAGACAAGAACAACAAACCTGAGGGGGGGGAGGGGAGGGGGGTGCGCTTTAACACAGCCAGCTGCTGTTTATCCAACAGCTTAGTCTTGTGAGGCCATTGTCTTATCGTCTTTCACAGGTGTGCGCTCTGCTCATCAATACAAAATCCACTTCCGCATATTGTGCACTTCCTGTGTAACTGCTTAATGTGTCCCCTCACAGAGAAGGGTTGAGTTGCAGACTCAGGGGCGGACCTAGCACATTTGGTGCCCTAGGCGAGCTTCACCACTGCGCCCCCCCCCCCCAAAAAATATCAAAACATCTTAACAGTTATACAGTAAAGTACTGCACCTTTATTTATTACAAGCAAGAACAAGAGCTAAGAAACAATGTAAAGTGCACACTAAAGAATTAAAACAAATAAACAATTTAGCTAACAAACAATAATAATAATAACAATAACAAACAATAAAATAACGTGCAAATTTGCTTTAAAAGAATATTATTAGGGCTGTCAGTCGATTAAAATATTTAATCGTGATTAATCGCATGATTGTCCATACATAATCGCGATTAATCGCACATTTTTTATCTGTTCTAAATGTACCTTAGAGGAATATTTTCCAAGTTTTTAATACTCTTATCAACATATGAGTGGACAAATATGCTTTATGCTAATGTTTATTATCATTTGAACAATGGCAAATATTCTCATGAATATTAAACACAACAGCCTCTGAACATTACAAATATTCGCCTCAATTCAACCTGGAACCTCTCTCATACAATAATACAATACAAATGGTGTGTGTGTGTGTGTGTGTGGTGTGTGGTGTGTGTGTGTGTGTGTGTGTGTGTGTGTGTGTGTGTGTGTGTGTGTGTGTGTGTGTGTGTGTGTGTGTGGTGTGTGTGTGTGTGTGTGTGTGTGTGTGTGTGTGTGTGTGTGAGTGATGGATCGTTGGAGCGATGTGCAACTCAAGGCATATGCTCGAACGGGAGCTGCCTGGACGCTGCAATCATGTTGCGCACTATCCGTGCTGAGTGTGCTGACTTTTCGTACAATGTCCCACTGTCTGGCTACCTGCATAAAGTCAAGTGCTCGGCGCAGTTGTGGCGAAATGTCGCTTCTCTGTTTTCATTTAAACAGCTCCTTATATCCGTTAGCGCAGCTAGCTAGCACCAGATGCTAACAACAACAATGCACGTAAGGTCTCTCTCTCGCTCGCTCGGGCCACACATACACACACACTCCCGGTCTTCAATAGCCAGTCGGTGCCTGCCGGTGAGCGTGGAAGTGTGGTCTGCCACAAGCGGGCGGCAGGAGCGGGGCTGTCAGCATCAGCTTGTAGACGGTATTTTAAACTCGTTGCGCTCTGAAACTACGGGGCGGTCGAGGAAAAAAAATACACATGCGTTAATCGCGTTAAAATAATTAGTGCCGTTAATTTTTGTTTGCGTTAACGCGTTATTAACGATGCAGTTCGGCTAAAAGTGACGTCACCCCATTCAAAGTGAATGGGCAGAAGCGTTGGAAGCTTCAACTCACGCCGCTGTGTGGATGGGCCGTTAGACCGACCGACCGTTTTAGATTGTTGGCTCATTTTCCCTTATGTTAGAATTTTTTTTTGATGTAAGAATAATGGTTGCAGATGTAGAGGTGGGCGCCAAAACTGCGCCAAGCAACAAAAAAAAAAAAAAATAATACTTTTTTTTTTGTTGCAATTTTTGGCGCCCCCAGGCAACCGCCTATATCGCCTTTAGGAAGCTCCGCCCCTGAGTCGAATACATAGATATATATATAAACACTAGATGGCTCATGGGAGCGTAGTGTACCGGCCGCCATCTTGCTACAGTTAACAGCTACTCTGGTACGCGCTATGGTAGCTGTTGTAAGGTGAGTGATCTGCACAAAAATACTCTTAACTCGCTGAAATCTTGACTGATTTACAAACGGTTTGGTTTATTATAAACGTTATTAGCATGGCTATGAGACAGGATGCTTGGACATGTTGAAATTGCAGCTTTTCTGTGTGTATGTATGTGGTTGTATTTATTAGCTGGCTCATAACAAGAGGCTGTGAGTGAGACTTAGGCCCTTTCTCATTTCTCTAACTCCCCTCCTCGACTCCTATCCTCGAGAGTTAGTCCCACAGGAGATGCGAGCGGAGGAGAGAGGAGGGGAAGCAGCAGGCGGTTAGAGAAATGAGAACTCCTCTCCTCTGAGCGGTAATTTTAAAGAGACGTCCATAGAGAACCGCAGTGACGCGTCGTAAAACCCGGAAGTAAACTTCTTCCGGTTCCTTCGTGAAAAACGCAATGCAAATTCTCCATAGGATTTTGGAAAATAGCTCGAAAGGTCTGTGGTTGACACAGATTTAAGAGAGGGATCACGTTTTGGTCAGCCGGATAATCTCCACATGTCTACACTACTTTTATAATTTTTTAATCATAAATCTAGTCGCCAAAAGCGAAATGCTAACGTTATGCTATAAACTAACTACAAGCCAGTACAGCAGCAGGGTCGCAAGACTTCAACGTCACGCCAACTTAAGATCGTTTCAAGTGACTTGCACTGAAACTGCACTTTGAACACTTTAAATATATTAACATTTTAAACTGTATACCCCGTTTATCTAGGCCCTTTTTGTTTCGTTTTATGTATACATGTCACACTGTGGGAAACGATATTTCAATATTTCTGGATGTATAACACATGTAGATTCTTTTTACAATAAAGCTGACTTTGACTTCCGCATGCTTGCATATTTTAACAAAGCTTTTCATTTTAGCCACACTGAATTTAACTAGAAGTCATGGCTGTGTCAATTACCAGTCTGATATCGTTTTACAAAGATGACAAGAAGAGTGTAGATAGAGGAGATAACCACTACAAGTCAGGACACGTAAAACAGTGCAGCCTAGATGAAGGTGTGCTTACCGGTGTTGTCAGGGCTAGCATGAGGGACAAGGTTTATAGAGTGTCGGTGAGTAGTGATAGCAAGAGTACCGTTAACCTAGAGTTAATTTATTCACATTAATTCCCATCAACAAATCCATTTTATGTGTCACATGAAATTAGGGCTGTGCGATTATGGCAAAAATCATAATCACGATTATTTGGGTCAAAAATTGATATCACGATTATTTTGACGATTATTCATTGACCATTTATTGAACTTTAAAACAAATAATATTTTACCAATAAACAAGATCAACAAATATGTTGGAGCGCACTTCCAAAACCATACTAAACATATATTATTAATATGATAAATGAAAATAAATTAGACCAAAATAAATTAAATCTAATATGTTGCAGTGCACTGTCACAACCTGAAAACTCCTTAACATATAGCCAACATGTTGGTAAAACATATTCAACATATTCCACTCAGTTAAACGTTGAAGGCTGGCCCACCGTCATGGTCCAGAAGTAACAGGAAATAAATGTTGAACTACAATTCAAGACCAAATAAAAAAATGTTGGCCACCATGGCAAATGCTGGTAGGGCTGCTCATGTCATCTCTTAAAGATTTTTTGCAAGAAACAACAGCCTGTTTACATGGTCTGGTTTCAGAGATGAGCGCAGGCAGGTGACGATATTGCCACCTGTACTGAAGACCCTCAGCCACGCCCCGACACATGGGGTCACGCCGGCCAATCACAAAGCTTTGATGCGTTCAAGTGCATTATTCTGGCACAGGAAGATTATGTTACAGGACATTAACGATAAAACTGAATATTGTTGTTCTATTTTTAGACACATCTCGCGATCGACTGGTTGGGCAACCCTGGGCTAGACCATAGGTCCGTTGTGGTCGCAAAGTAGTCAGCTGAAGCCACATCTCTCTCAACTTCCCCACAGCATTTGTCCCATAGCGCAGTAAAGCACCCATATATTGTTCTAAACTGTATTAAAGTAAACAGGTATTATCTTGAACTGTATTGAAGTGAACATGTATTATTTGGGACTGTTTAAAGTAATCCTATATATCTAAACCTTCTTACTTACACTCCATGACCCAGAGACCCTGACACACACACATACACCTCCTCCTGTCTTCATGCAGCACACACACATAAACTCCTTAACCCAGATATCAGCAACACACACACATATGCCTCTGCTTATCAGCATGCACACACACCACACACACACCACACACACAACACACACACACACACACACACACACACACACACACACACACACACACACACCACACACACACACACACACACACACACACCACACACACACACACACACACACACACACACACACACACACACACCACACACACACATACCCTTTCCCTCACTAACACACACACATGTTCTTTTTTCAAGGTTCCTTGCTGGGAATAATCCCAAGCACCAATATATAGTATATAGTGTACAATGTTTGATTGTTATAAAGAATCATTTGTGTGAAACCTTCCCTGGGAAATTAAAGGAGTTGAGTCCGGTGAAAGATAAGAAGTGACTCTCCGCCCCAAATATGTCCATATATACTGTTGTTTCTTCATGCAAAATGCCCCCTGTTTCTGACTGGCTGGTCCCGATATCTGTATCGCACGGCAGTAGAGCGGGGAGCCCGGAGTGTTCTGTTTCAGGGCACTCTGTATTTCGTATTGTGTTTTTTACTGTATTAAAATCAGATTATTGTTATAACTTTTATGCCGGTGTGTTGAAGTCCCTCTTTTATCAATCTGACCAGGCTCATCTAAAGGACGGCGCGGAGCACAGGTGGGCTTTAAGCCACAGATATTGTGTTTGCTCCTACAATCTGGTGACCTGCCGACGTGATGAGTGCTGGTCTCTGGAAGGACCACCGACAGCTAGCGGACGGAATTCAGTCCAGGGGAGGACACTTGCACACCGTTGACAACTAAACCAGGACGTCCAGATACAAAGGTGAGCAGACACCTGTTGATTGTCAAAGTCTGTGATTGGCTATACTACACATTTTTTAGAGTTGTCAGCGGTGTTCTCAGTGTCCTTAGTCATGGTAAACAATACAAACTGAAGAAAGTGTTTGTAGAGTCAGGTAGATCAGTCCTGTACCTAAGGCACTAAGTGTTGGTAAAGAGTCTGGTATTACAGTCCAGTACCTTAAACTCACTAAAGTAAGAAGGGGCTTAGAGTCAGGTAGAACAGTCCGGACCTAAGGCACCGAGTTATATT